TCCCTCTCTCCCTCTCTCTCCCTCTCTCTCCCAATAAAGCTCTAAAAAGGTAACTATGGCTTGTGACTCTTCCATCACCGATACATCCAGCACTCTCCTCTGTTGGCATGGCTGCCGTGGGCGGCGACCAGCCAAGAGCGCTGCAGCTTAACCAACACCCCTCACCTGTGCTTTTATAACCAACCCTAATGAAACTCATTGGGCCACCAAAAATGTCATAATGAAACCTGTTATGTACAAGTAATGTAAACTAAAAAGTGATGAAATAAAACATGTTATATGTATCTTTATCTGTCTATCTATCTCTATATCTATCTATCTATCTATCTATCTATCTATCTATCTATCTATCTATCTATCTAAAATATGTATTTTGAACCTTAGCTTGAATTTCAGTGACCTGGCTCTCTGCATCCTGACTGAGTATATGTTGCTTCACTTGGAGCCATGAAAGCAAGACTGCTGTTTGTAATATCAGTCAGAAATCAAATATCTGCTCCTTTCCTTGGAGTTGTAGTTCAGCTCATACAGCCAGGACTTTGGGACAAGGCCATCCTGCTGTGGGAGTAGATCTTTCCTGCCTCCACTTTCTTGAATTCACAGAGGAAGAAGCCAGCTACTGAGGCCTTCCTGCTTTCATGCATCATCCTTCTAAAACTCATCATTTATAGCAGTGTGAAGAGATAGCAAAAGAACCTCCCTAGTTTATTCTGCCACCCAGCTGCTAAGCCTGATGGGAGGCTCATGCCATTCTCATGAAGGAAGGTAGGATAGCTTATTGAGATGAGGCATGTCTAAATCTCATCTTCAGTTTTTCTTTTTTAAAAAGATTTATTTATCTATTTTATGTATATGAGTTCTCTATCTGCATGTATGCCTACATGCCAGAAGAGGGCATCAAATCCCTTTATAGATGGCTGTGAGCCACCATGTGAATGCTGGGAATTGAACTTAGGACTTCTGGTTACCGCTGAGCCATCTCTCTAGCCCCCATCCTCAATTTTTCTTACCACAGAGCTAGTTTTCTTTCCCTGTGCCACCTTCTGGCACCCCCTCCCCGATTCCTGTGTTGCATCCTTTGTGAGAGTCATTCCTTTGGCTACTCAGTAGATGAACCCATTTTAGATCAGTTGTGGGGTAACAGAAGGTGGTGGGGAGGTCCTGACCTAATATGCAGTTGTTTGTTCTCAGTCATAGAGCAAGAACACCCAGGTCACTGCATACAATTTCAGGAAGGTATACATGTAAATGGAAAAGTACCACCTCAAGCAAGTCTTTCCACTGCCTCCTCAGCTCTCTCCCTGATTGCTGCTTATTTTTAGATGGCAGTATCAAAGACAGTCTAGTACTTTGGCTGTGCTCATAATCCTCATTTATGTTGAAAAGGTCAGCTTGTCGTCTTCCTCAGTATTTCCACAGGGAAGCAGTGGAAGACATAGTTCTCTGCCTGCTGTGTAGTGGGAGAGAACTGGCAAATCAAAAGGCAGCATACCTGGGCCTGCCACTCCTCCTCTGCCTGCCTGCCTGCCTGCCTGCCTGCTGGGATTTTCCCTGCACACCTGTGGTCCCTGCAGGGGCATGCATGCATAGACTTGGGGCCAGAGCACATACCTTCTAAGTAATAAATTGCAGGTGACAGGCAGGAAGGGACCTCAGGTTCTTAATAGATTCTTCACCAGAAGCCCTGTATTTGAGTGGGTGGTGAGCTCAGCTGCTCAGAAAACTGACATTTGACTCATGGATCTTGGAGTGTGACTCAAAACTCCCAGGGACAAGGAGGTGAATGCTACACTCTACAGACTGCTGAAAATGTGTGGCTCCTGGGGAGCTTCACGTGAACTTGACATACATGAAAACAAGCTATCCCCATTCCTGCTTGTGGTGGTTTGAATAATAATGGTCCCCATAGACTCACATATTTGAATGTTTAGGCAGTGGCATTAGGAGATGTGGCCTTGTTGGAGTAGGTGTGGTCTTACTGGAGGAACTATGTCCCTGGGGGTGGGCTTTGGAGTTTCAAATGGCCAAGCCAGGCCCAGTGGCTCTCTCTCTCTCTCTCTCTCTCTCTCTCTCTCTCTCTCTCTCTCTCTCTCTCCCTCCCTCTCTCTCTCTCTCTCTCTCTCTCTCTCTCTCCCTCTCTCTCTCCCTCCCTTCCTCCCTCCCTCCCTTCCTCTCTCTCTCTCCCCCCCTCTCTCTCTGTCTCTCTGTCTCTCTCTCTCTGTCTCTCTCTCTCTCTGTCTCTCTCTCTCCCTCCTGCCTACTGATCCAGATATAGCACTCTAGGCTCTTCTCTAACACCACATCTGCCTGTGTACCTCCATGGTTCCCGCCATGATGATAATGGACTAAACCTCTGAAACTGTGAGCCCCAATTAAATGTCTTTCTTTTGTAAGAGTTGCTGTGGTCATGGTGTCTCTTCACAGCAATAGAAACCCTAACTACAATACTGCTCCTTCTAAACTTCCTGTCTGAGAGACTGACCTTCACCTTCTGTGGTATTCGAAGTTAATATTCTGGTTGTCTGAGTATATATAGGCCTTTGTGAGTTTACTTTGGGCCTCCCTCTGTCATCATCCACACATACAGCTCTTGTAGCTGACTGCATCCTACATGTCACTCAGACCTCAGCTGAAGTGTTACATACTAGGTCTTAACTGTCCTACAAGAATGAGTGCTTCTATAATCCTCACTCTTCTTCTCTACCACACTGCATTGAAACATGCATCTTTGATTATATATTTGCTTCTTCCACTGGACTCCCAGATGGTTGTAAGTAGAGGTGGTGCCTTGTTCATCCTTGAATGCCAGCATAGCAAGCCAGCAGTAGCTGTCTGGTAAATAATGACTTGCATGAATGACATTGAGGCCTACGAGGGCCTGAGGCTGTATTGTACCATGGTAACAAGCCTAGCTTTAGAACTTGAGACCATGGTAACAAGCCTAGCTTTGGAACTTGGAACTGGTCTCAGACCCTGTTATTTGTATGATCTTTGGGTGAATTTCTTGACTTCTTTATCTTTAATTTTGTCATTAATAGTCTGGGGATACTAACCACTTCTTAAGGCTGTGATGATGTGACATAATTCATGCAGAACACTGGAGCAATGTATGATGCATCCATAGAGTTCAGTTTGTCAGAGTCTAATCAGAGCAACAGCAGCAGCATGAATAACACAGCCATTCCTAATGGAAGGAGAAGCTGTCAGAAATACATGGGACTCGAAACCAGGCAGCTTGAATGCTTGTATATAGATTTAAAAGAGGTAGAGAGTTCTTTAGGATAACATGCAGGAACAGGGGCTGGAGATACCGGGTAAAAGAGTGCTTGCCTCCTACGTGTGAAGCCTTAGGTTCAATCTCCAGTACTGTTGAATAAATAAATAAATAAATAAATAAATAAATAAATAAATAAATAAATAAATAAATTGGCCAGTGAGGTGGTGCAGTGGGTAAAGGTGGTTGCTGCCGAGTCTTGCAGCCTGAGCAGAATCCCTGGGATCCACATCTTGGAAAGAAAGAACTGATTCCCACAAGAGGTCCTCTACGACCTCCACCCGTGTACCATGGCACACAGGTACATGTGCATGCACACACAATAAGTTAATTAATGAATGAAAAATAAAGAAGTAAAATTCAGGAGTAGAGGGGATGATCCTGGGAAAGAATGAACAAGGGAAGGAAACTGACGCAGGGAAACAGAAGACAGAGAACCCCAAGAAAGTCCGCATTTCAGGGCGAAGAGCAGTCAGAGCAGAAAAGGGAGAGAGAGTAATTACAATTAGGAGATTGTCACTTCTCAGCCACCTGAAATCACCAAGGATGCTATTTTAGAAGGAAGGAGGATGAGGAGAATACAAGAAGTGGCCAGAATCTGCTAATGTTAGTTCCCTGGGAGCCAGCCTGTTCAGTAGTGCCTCAGGAAGGAAGGCACACTGCAGGAGGCTAGAGACGGCCATGTAAGGGGCAGTGGCAGTTGGTTGTGCTACAATCTGTTTTTGTGGTGTGAATTAGTTTTGGGGTAAATGAAGTACGGATACCACTGAAATGTAAAAGTCACTTTGCTCCTAAGTAGCTGGTTTTCTCATCATAATATTTTGCAGCACTGGTTAATAACAGCCAAAAGAAAAGTACTCTAACACAGCTGAAGATAGCAAGCCTTGGGGACACAGGGAGCCTTATATAAGGCCCATTTACCCCATGTTCCATTTGTCTATGTTCTGTGTCCTGAAATGCTTGGGGGTACCCCTCATAAGTCTTTGTGCAGTCAATAGCCAGCCTTTCTGATTACTACACCCATTACATTCCTCCTTCCCTTTTAAAGGTAAATGGCTATATTTATTAGAGCATTTAGTTTTTCAAAGATTTTTATTTATTTATTTATTTATTTATTTATTTATTTATTTATTTATTTATTTGTGTGTGTGTGTGTGTGTGTGTGTGTGTGTGTGTGTGTGCCTGCAGAGGCCAGAAGAGGACATCTGCTCTCCTGGAGCTGGAGTTATAGGTGATTGTGAGCTACCTGGTGTGGGTGCTATAAATCTAACTTCAGTCCTCTGGAAATGTAGCTCTTAACTGCTGAGCCATCTCTCCAGCCCATGCAGTATTTCTTTTTTAGGAATTGAATATTAAAATTTATGAGTCTTTCGTGGTGCTGATGGTTTTTCTCAGTGCTCCTTAAGTCCTTTCTTATCCCTTTCTCCTCTGATAATTTTTATCGTTTTTGTAAATTGTTAGTTTTTAAGAAATCTGTATGTGAAAATATATGAGATGGCCATAGTTCCTTTTCTTGAATGACACTGGCAGGAGACATGGAAGGGAATAGCAAGGCCTATGGTGGAGGGTTTTTCCCGAGCATCAACAGACTTGTGCTTGCCTGCAGCTTAGTCTAGACCAGTGTGACTTGGTCTCCCTGAGTGACTCTTTGACTGAGTGTTCTTTGTCCTCTGTTTACATGGTTGGGTTCTTTTGCATTTATACCTTCTCTTTGATCTTGCTGCAGTCTGAGCCAGTATCTGAAGCTGACTTACACCCTCAGCTGAACAGAGCTCCTTCTCAAGCTGCAGAAAGCAGTCCAGCAAAGAAGGTAAGAGCAGCAGAGAGACCCCTGGCCTTCTTACAACTCTACCACTTTCAGGTTTCCACCAAGATGACTGTGACTGAACCATGGCTCTGAAGTGTGAACTCTTTCTGAAAATTAGGTTCCTGGAGGTTCTGGGGCTGGACTGTGGATGTCCCTGGCAGTTTGGATTCTCCTGGATCTTCCAGCTAAACAGCCTTGTTTTCGGCAAGATCAAAAAAATGTTGTGGAGAGGCAGGAGAGATGGCTCAGAGGTTAAGAGTGCTCACTGCTCTTGTATAGGACCTGGATTCAGTTCTCAGCACCCGTATGGTGGCTCACTACTTTCTGACCTCTGTGGGCACTGCACACATATGGTGCATATACATATACTTGGGCACATACATATAAAATATAAAAATAAGTAAATACTTTTAAAATGTGAGAAGAGCTAAATGGCTTTAGTAAGACTTCATACGTCTGCTAGTGAATCAGGTGAGTATAGGAATAGCTTAGCAACTTTGGACTCCACTTGGTTTTGGATATGCACGTCCCACTCTTCTAACAGTGCACCCAGCAACCTAGGGCTCTTACTTGCATCAAGTTTCATGCATACCCCACTTCAAACAACAGCATAAGTTACTCCTGCCTTGTCATCTACGTAGTAGTTACTCTTCTGTGGTCCATTTCCTTTGAAAAATGCCCCAGAGCACATTTGGCCTGAAATAGTATTGGATGCATGTGCATTAAGGCAAACTGGGTCTTCAGCATGAACTTTTAAGGAAAACCTCCTATTTACTATCTTATGTCTATGCATGATTGGGCATGCATACAATTCAAATCAGATGCATCATAGGAAAAGGCATGCACAGTGAGAAAAAAGGCTAATATAATTCAAGCCTGCCAATCAAATAGAATCTTCCATATTACACCCCTTAGCAACCAACTTCTCCTTCTCTTGAACCCCATTAAAGAAAGCCCCAAACAACAGCCTGCTGTTCCTGGGCACTCTAACTCAAGTAGCACAGTGATTTCTTCAGTGATTCCCTTATTTTCCATTTATGAGACTGATTTGTTGCCTACTGTGCTTTAAATCTCTTTAAATCAAGATTTTCTCTGCTTTGCCATTCCTGTGATCCTTTTAAAATTCTTTGAATAAGACACCAGGAATCTGGGACCATCTAGTTCAGACAGTGACCCTTGTAACATTAAAGACCCAGTTAGCACCTCCTGTGGATGGAACAGTCTTCCCTTCTTGGTACCATGATGTCTTTCTTTTCTTGCTTTTTGTTGTTGTTGTTTTATTAGTTTTTAAAATTATTATGCAGGGCAGTAAGTTTCTCTATCACATTTCCATATGCATTTGTCTCTCTTGGTCCTTCTCTCCTTGTTCTCCACCCGCTGATGTCAGGATTTTTTTCTAGCATCTTGGCACCTTTCTTTTTGCCTGGCCATGCCATTGGGCCCCTGTTCTTTGCGCAGCTAGCACTACTCTCTAAGTATCATGTTCCCACTTACTTTCTCACCCTCTTCTTGTTCTTCAGCATTGTCTCCTAGGCTATCTCATAACAAAGAGAGTGGACCCTGGGCTTGGAAAGTGACATGAGCAGGCCAACTGTTTCCTTGAACACATTGGCTTTTTTGTTTGACTTCATGTAGGAATCAGGAGTAGGAGAATGATGAACACATGACTAAGACCATTATAGACTTTGAAACTTATTCTCCAAAAAGCCCCAGAGTGAGGCAGGAGTCAGTTTTGTCTTCAATTAGAAAAGTCCTCATAGTTGTATAAAGTCTATGTGAGTTTAAATGACAAGAAAGTATAGATGGTTTACAACATTAAAAAAGGAAAAGAGTAAAACCACTAGAATCTTATTTTGATGTCCTTCTTGATGATGACAGAAAGGGGGAGTAGATTCCCATGTTTTATTTATTTATTTATTTATTTATTTGTTTATTTATTTTACATCCTGACTGCAGTTTTTCCTCCAAGTCCCTCCCCCCACCTCTCCTCTGCCCCCCCATCCACTACTTCTTTCTCTTCAGAAAAGGGCAGGGCTCCCATGGATATCAGCCAGCCATGGTATATCAAGTTGCAGTAAGACTAGACACCTCCTCTCCTATTAAGGCTGGGCTAGGCAGTCCAGTAGGAGGAAAGGGTCCCCAAAGCAGATATCAGAGTCAGAGACAGCTCCTGCTCCCACTGTCAGGAGTCCCACAAGAGGACCAAGCTACACAACTGTAAAATAGATGCAGAGGGATAGAGAGATCATTAAAACACTTTTTTGAGCACTTTGGATTTATTTTTTTAATCCACAGGATGCACCACATGGTCAACCTCCATCAAAGCCTATTCGCAGGAAATTCAGACCTGAAAATCAAACTACAGAAAACCAAGAGCCTGCTGCTTCTGCTGCTGCTTCTGCTTCTGCTGCTGCTGCTGCTGCTGCTGCTGTTGGAGGGGCAGCTTCTGTAGCAATGGTGAAACCCCATCCAACAGTACAAAAGTAAGTGGCCCAGACTAGTAAAAAGATGGTGGTGAACTTCCTCCTACATCTGCATGTATATGTATTTGTTTATGTGTTTGCATTTATTTTCCTAGGCACAGGGTTTTATGGTTGTCATAGTCATCTCTGCCATGGTGATGGTGGTGGCATTAAAGCCTCCCAATCTGATAGGACACTTTATAATCCATAGGACTTAGCGTGACCCAAAGGAGCAGGCAAGTCCTAGACTACTGTTTGGTTTGGTTTCTTGCCCTTCTATTTTCTTTCTTTCCTTTTTGGTGTTGGTCCAGATTTTGCTATGAAGGGAACAGTATGGTGAGGGCATTTCCCCCTCATTTCTTGTCTGATATCAAGTTCCTTTAGTGCACGTGACTAGCTCTGTGATCATAGACTCAACTTTCAGTGGAAGTGGGGTTTGATTTAGAAAACATGTAGCGTTATTGATATTGGTCACCTCAGTACTGAATGGCACAGGCTGATCCTCCGTAATACCTCCTTTACCATCTGGAACAGATACTGGAGGGCTTGAGACATGGTGGACAGGGCCAAGGGTGGGGAAAATGGTGCTCTGAACAAACCGTCCTTATCTAGAAGACTGTCTTTGAGAAGATTGTTACTCAACTCAGTCTTTCTGCAGTAACATCAAGTGAGATATTGAGGGCAAAATCCTGCTACTGTCACTTGACTTGAAGTGAACCTCAACTGGCCAGTATTGCAGATACTTAAGATCCCTTGTGATATTTCTGTAGAGGCCCTTCAGGTCTCAGGAGGTCTGTAGCTTGCCTTCTGCTACAGTATTGTGGAAAGAACAGCAACAGGTTCTGTGGGTGATGTTACCAGCTTGCCTGGAAGCTGGGTCCCATTTGGATTCTTTGTATCCTTCTTCAGTGGATTTTTCTTTCTCCAAATAGATAGTTCCCTGAAGACATCAGCTAGTACAGGAAGGGATTTTCTGCATCATCGTCACCTTCCTAACCCAAGGGATAGATTTCTGTCAGGCACACAGATGGCTGGTTTTTGTCCTCCTTAATTTCAGCTTCATGTTAATTCTAGTCAGTCAGTGGTGGCCACCTTGCTCTCCAAAGTAGATGGCAGGGCAACTGGTGAACTTCACACAGGGAACGGTTGCTTTCCATGTTTTTTGAAATGAGCTCTGTTGAAATATAATTTGCATAGCATACACTTCAGTGGCTTTTAGTATTCACAAAGCATTGTGAGCATTGCCACAGTATAATTTTGCAACATTTTTATTATCTCCAAAAGAATCTCCATGCCCAGTGGAAGTTGCTCCCCACTTTCCCTTCCCTTCCCAGCTCCTGGAAACCACTAATTTATTCTCTGTCTCTACTTGGCTTATATTTTTACATAGATGTAGTCGTGTATCATGTGGTTCTTTGTGCTTGGCTACCTTTTACCTTTTTGTTGTTTGCAAGGTTCATCCATGTTGTAGCATGCATTATAATCTATTTTTTATGTGGAATACTATGTTCTATTAATGTTCCACATGATATTCAGTGATTCATTAGACTTTGGGGTTATTTGAACTTTTTGCATATTAATAATTATGCTGTAGAGTTATCTGTGTTCATGTTTCTGTGTGGACTGTATTTTTGTTTCTCTTGGGAATGCACATATGGGTAAAATTGGAGTTACATGGTAATGCTATGTTTAACACATTGAAGAAGTGCCAAATTGTTTTTCACAGTGACCACTACACTTTACATCTTCAACAATGTATGAGGGTTCTAGTTCTCTATTTCTTCATCAATACTTATCTAGTATTAGATAATACTATGTATTACATAGTAATTATGTAGTAATTACAATTACATAGTAATATATAAAAATATTTTTTATTTTTTGAGATTATAATATAATTACATCATTCCTCCCCTCCCCTTCCTTTCCTCCCTCCAAACCTTTCCATGTACCCTCCCTTGCTCTCTTTCAAATTCATAGCCTCATTTTATATTAATTGTCACACATATGTAGAATTCTTAAATAGAACATGTTCGGTCTGTATAATATTACTTTTATGTGTATGTTTTCAGAGCTGACCATTTGGTATTGGATAATCAATTGATATGCTCTTCCCTAGGGAAGATTGTTTCTCTTGCTGTTAGCATTTCTTAGTTGCCTGTAGTTCTTTCTGTAGGGTTGAGGCCTTGTGATCTTTTCCCTGGCCATGTTAGCTTGTCTATTGATATCAGCCTTTTCCAGGTCATGTTTAGACAGTCCTAGGGACTATAACATGGTATCTCATTGTGTTTTTGATTTTCATTTCCTTAATGATTAATAGTGTTGAGCATCTTTTCTCGTGCTTATTGGTCATTTGAATACACTTTTGGATAAATATCTACTCATCCTTTGCCTACTTATAATTGAGTTATGGGTTATCTAGTCTGCATACAGCTAGCTCCTTTGTTAGATACACGATTTTCAAGTATTTTCTCCTATTCTGTTGGTTGTGTTTTCACTTTCTTTGTTGGTGTACTTTGAAGTACCAAGTTTAAAGTGTGTGTGTGTGTGTGTGTGTGTGTGTGTGTGTGTGTGTGTGTGTATGTGTGTGTGTTTGAGACAGGATCTCACTGTGTGGCCCTGAAAGACGTGTGACTTTATTTGTAGACCAGGCTAACTTTGAACTCACAAAGATCCACCTGCCTCTGCCTCCTGAATTCTGGGATTGAAGGTATGCACCTCCATGCCTAGCTTGTCATTTATATTTTTAGTGTCATATTTAAGAAACCATTGCCTACTCCAAGTTCACAAAGATTGCTCACTTGTAAAAGTCTTGTCACTTTATACCTGCTATTGACATCTATGGTCTATTTTGAACTCATTTTGTGCATCATATGAAGATGGGGTTCAACTTCATTCTTTGACATGGCAATTATACAGTTGTCCCTGCAGTGTTTATTGAAATAGTATTTTCTACCTTTCATTTGTTCTGTGAATGTCCTTCAGCATGCTACTCTGATGCTAGTGAGGTGACCATGTGCTATGTAGCTGAGAGACTCCTGCACAGATCACAGTGTGAATCGTCAGGGCCTAAGCTTTCACATCAGAGTATTTTATACAGCTTCTTGTTTTAGTTCCAAGACTAGCTTATTTTGGCATGATAGGAAGGAATTTAGCATTCATAATTTTTAAAGGCAGGGAGCAAAAGATAGAAAATACAAAATGGTTGGCCTACAGTTCTTTCCCAGCCAGAGTTTTGAGAGAGAGAGAGAAGCTCAGATTCCTTTAGACATGTGTTATATAGAGTTGTTACCCCCTCCCCTACTTCACTCTCATTTACAGTGTTAGTTGCTATGTACTATCTTTGGGAAAAATGAGAAAAAGAGCCACAATCATTTTCTGTAAGCCTTAATTCTCCAACACAACACTGAGAAAGGCTAAAAATAAAGTAGACTAGCTGTAAAACTGTCATCAGCTTTTATAGAAATTAACATCAAAAATGAACCATTGTCAGAAACAAATTCAGCTTTTGATATTGCCATTGTCCACAAAAAGAAATTAGTAAGTTTGCCCAAGTCAACTGCTGAGCCAAGTTATGTGCAGTAACCATTTCATAATGTGCCATCATTAATAAGAACAGGTGTGAATTTGGCTTAGAAACACTTTGGTTTAGTTGTTTCTTTGCTGCATCTTTGCTGTCTATTAAAGATGAACCTTTGGAAAATAGGATTCTTCATGCAGTATAGAGACAGAGGATACCATATGACAGCACCATGGCTCCGTGCCAACCTCTATAACCTCTATTATTCCCCATAACTCCAGAGTGTTCTAGCTCTAGTATAGACTATTTGCTTACCTTCATGATGTTCTCAATGTGGCTCTAAGTTTTTCTTTCCCTCCTCATGCTTGATGTATTGGGATTGTCTGTGGGATTAATGGCTTGGATCCCTGATGGAAGTCTTCCATTTCTAACTGTAGAAAAGGCAATACAAGTTTGGGACTTAGAAGGTGCACCCAGTTTCCTTGGGAGAAATCAAGGCCTGGGGAATGGCAAATGGCTAAGATTTGTCCTTTTCTTTTTTTAATATTTTTATTTTATAATTAATTTAATTTTACATATCAGCCACGGATTCCCCTGTCCTCCCTCCTCCCACCCCTCAGTCTCCCCCCCAATTCACCCCCCATTCCCACCTCCTCCAAGGCAAGGTCTACCCTGGGGAGTCAGCCAATCCTGGTAGATTCAGTTGAGGCAGGTCCAGTCCCCTCCTCCCTACACCAAGGCTGAGCAAAAAGGCAGGATCTCATCATGTAGTCATGGTGGGCTCTCTATGTAGCTGAGGATGATGAACTCCTGATTCAACTGTTTCACCACCCAAATGTTAGGATGATAGGTGCAAGGCACCATACCCAGCCTAATATTTTTTCATTTAGAAAATCTCATCGATACTCTTTCTGGGGAGGATTTTTTTTTTGAGATAGGATCTCACACTGTAGCACAGGGTTGCCAGGAACTCACCATGTAGCCTAGGGTGGCCCCAAACTCATGAAAATCCTCTTAACTCAGCCTTCTGAGTGCTGGTATCATAGGCATGAGCCACTATGCCTAGCTTATGTCCTTTAAAACATAATAAAAATATATTGTATACATGTATGAGATTGTCAAAGAATAAATAAAAATTTCATTTTTCAAAATTTGAGTTTGCCACTTGAACAGAAAATAAAGTTCAGAAGGGTAGGATTGCTGGGTTCTGGAAACTGGGCATATTGTCTTCCTGTTCTGGATTTCTTTGGGATTTGCCTTTATTCATATAGATAATGGCAACTTGTCACCAACATATTTATTTTTCAGGTCACATAGAAAGAGAGAAAGAACAAATGGGGAAAAGGCAGCTTATTGCTAAGATCTTTCTGGTCTTACCGGCTCAAAACTTAGTCACATGTTTTCACCCACCAAGGCAACAGAGAAACAATTATTTGCTGAACAGTTAGTTGCACGTCTTCCTCCATTGAAACTGGGCCAGTTGTAGCCCAGATTGGAACAC